TAACGTCATTTTAAATGCCAACCGTGGCCATTTCAAGTAAATGAGGTACATGATACCGTTGTCAAAGGGAAGTACATCAAATGTCAAAACAAATGTTTTTCCAAATGTATTATTGAATTATTCACATGTATTATAATTAAATTGGACAAAAATATTGACAGTGAGAATAATTAGGTATTAATAAAAATGCGACGCTGCAGCATTATAGGATGCGGCTTTAGAAAAACTGCAAATCAATCGAATGTTACATTGCACAGGCATGTGTTATTTTTTTGTCTATAAATCACACAATAGCCCGAATATTTTATGTAATTAGACTTATTTAAGTAGTTTATTTATAAATCTTGCCAAATTTTACTTTTGTTACTTTAGATTGCCTGTTTGTTTGTATATTTTGATGATTGTTGTTAACGATTATTTTGAGATAGTGTTGATCTTGTAAGCATACATATTATCGATATTCTGTTATTAAAACAATTCACTATGAGGTTTTTATTGTTTTATTATTATTATTTCAAGTTTTCCTACAAATGAAAAAAGGAAGAAAGAATGGTTGGAAATCATAGGACTGCCGAATATAAACGTTGGATCAAAGACCATCTTCATTTGTTCGCTTCATTTTGAAGAGTCAAATTTTAATAGAACTTTAAATGTAACTAGATTACATGACAATGCTATTCCATCATTAGGTTTATTGGTAAATAATTTTATGTTCAATTTAGATTAAACAAGACTCATTTACTAGCTATTCTCAGTTCCTGAAAACAAAATTATCCACTCGTTTCTGATTTTTCCCAATGACAACTCTAACTATTAAAAATGACTATTTTTTTAAAGCCTGCAATACGATGACAACATACCAACGTATAGACAGCCTATTTGCCTTGCCTTGCCTTGTTCGGTGTCACTCGCCTAGCTGACCGAGTGAAGGCGAGCGCCAACGTGTATAGAGTTCATTCGGCTTATCACAAACCAAAGGCGCTCGACCAATAGCGTTCACATGTTAGTCCGTCCGCATTTGAAATGCATACTGGTTTTATAACTCTATCAAAAAAAAATCAAAACACAAAATAAAGAAGTATATATTATATATCAACAAAATGTCATGTTGTTCTGTTTCTGGAATAATCAGCATCCACCACGTTCGTTTTTGTCATTTCTTTTTTGCAACTTTATTGCGGGGATTTTATCGTGGGGAAAAGCTAGTACATGATAATTGTTGATTTCCGATAATTGATTTTTACAACTATTTCCATTATTTCTGTGTTAAAATTGCTTGATAGATTCATTTGCTTAAGAAAGCCCTGGATTTAACGGGAATACTAGAATCCGCAGAAACCTGAATAGACTTGTACTTGACGGTTAGTTAAAAGACGTTATGTAAATATGTACTAAAATGTAGGTTAAAGGCGTACCTCTTAAAGTAATTTTTATATTTTATTTAGTAAGTACAATTAATACTACGTAATGTTAAATACAAGTAAAGTAGGTATAATTAAGCAAGAATGCGCATGTCGCCAACAAACTGCACAGCAGTTTGGTGACTTTTACTAAATAAGTTACCAGTTGTAATGTTGAAAATAAATTTTTTTTGAAGTTTAAAAATGTGTGTTGACATTTATAATAATATACCACTCGAGATTAAATTATCAGACTTGTGTTTGTTTAGGCATACTTTGGTTACAGTAAACTAAAGAAACAAAAATTCAAGCCATACATTTGCATGTCGATAATGAGAATGACTTATCGATAGATTATGGTACAACACTAAAGAAATCCGCCATTTGTAACTTTCAAATTTTGGTAATATGCACGTTGATTCTGTACTTAGGGCAGCTCCTTTCTTTTATTTTTTTCCATCCTCGAAGCTCTAAGATCGCCAATCACGTGATGTGTCTAAGTGACATTTGGTCATTTCTCGCCTAACTGTGTCTATGCTTGAACGAAACAAATCAAACTCAGAATGATTTACAGTCGCATTGTTAAAAATATGATGTCATTGAGGCTTAGAGGATGAAAAAACATAAAGGAACATTTAGATAAAAACTAGGAGCTTACGCGGCGTATTTTATACGCGCCGATGACATGCGTTTCATGGCGCTGTAAATGCGCATAATCATTATCTGAAGTGAATCGATTAAAACGCGCGCAAACATCGCCTTGCAGGCAAGAAGCTTATATACTCCACTGGAGTTTACTCTTAGAATTTCATGTAGTTGCTTCATTTGAAAAACTAACTGAAATTAACAATTCAAAACTAAAATTAAAAGTACCTTATCAAAAACACATAGGTACATACGCGCGACTACAGTGCATTTCCGGTGCGTATACGCGCAGATGACTCGTCGGCGTATACAATACGCCGCGCATAGGCTCTAACTGATGTTAAATCCATCATGGATAATTTCTACCGATCGCTGTTGTTGCCATACCTCCTTGGCATCCTTTCCCACCACATCTATCCTCTCCTTTCATATCCGCCAATCTAAGGTCTGCCGTGCCGATGGATGCATGGCCAGAGGCATGTCTGGTCAGGAGCGAGTCGTTTTTTGTTATCCCGGAACCAGGCAAATTTCGGGCATTAAATCGCCTTATCTCGTCATGCGGGGCTCTGACGGGGTGGGCAATGTACTTCCCTAGCTAAACGTGGGATTCAAATGTGTTCTAAAAAACCAAATAAACACGGAGGCAAACTGTATGGCGAACCTTATAGCCATACAGTTCGCCCCTTGTCACGCCAGCGAGTCTCACGGGGCGAAAAGCGGGCGATAGAACGTCGCTTCGCTGAATATATGTGGAGGGATGGAAAACAAATTAGATGAAGTATGAATGATGATGGATGAAAGTAAACTGGATATTTTATGCGTGAGTGAGACGAAGAAGAAAGGGAAAGGAGTCACAGCTTGGCTCGATAACTGCGGTGTGTTCGGGAGTAGACGAAAATCAGAGTGTATACGCGCTTTTATTGTCTGAAAGAATGTCAGAGTGTATGTTGGAGCACGAATGTGTGAGTCCACGTCTTCTCTGGGTCCGGCTCAAAGTAGGAATTATTCTGCTGCGCGTAATAGGAGTATATGCACCGGATGACTCAAAGTTGATGACCGAGAAGGAGGAGTTTTGAAATTTGTTGGATGGTGTTGTTGGTGAGTGCGATATGAATGAAAGAATTATCACGGTAGGCGACTTTAATGCGTGGGTTGGTGTAGCGAGAAACGGGCATGAGAGTGTAACTTTCCTAAGTTTGGTGATAAGAGAGTGAATGAGAATGGTGATAGTCTGATTGCAGTATGCTTGGAAAGGAATCTTATTGTGACGAACACTACGTTTGATCACAAGAAGATTCATATGTATACTTGGTAAAGAGGGAACGACAAAAGTATGATTGATTTTGTGATAGTGGATGAAAGATTGAAGGGTATGGTGGTTGATACTAGGGTGTGTAGAGGCACAAATGTGGGAACGGACCACTTCCTTGTAATATCCCGAATAAGTGGTCTATTTAAAGGGCGCTATCGGCCCAAAGTATTAATCACCAAACTAGAGAGAATTAAAATAGAAAGCATGGAAAAAGATGATGTATGTGAAAAATATCTGAAGAAACTGTGTGATCGGTTTGGGACGAGAGAAGAAGAAGAGGAACGACAAATTGAAGAAGGATGGTTAAGGTTTAAGAATATTATTACAAGTACGTAATAATATTTAAGTAAGAATGGTTCTTTGAATGATTGGTGGGATAGAGAAGTAAGACAAATAGTTGAGGAAAAAAAAAGCGTGGTTGGATATATTAGCGATCAAAGCGAAACAGAGATTAGATGTAACTGTGACAGATGATGATGTGAATGCAAAAATAGGCACGTACAAAAGTTATTTTGAGGAATTGTTTAATTGTAATGAATCCGTGCCTCAGGTACCGTCGCAGGTGATTCAGGAATCATACACTGGGAGTCAGGAAGAAGAGATTAGTATGGATGAAGTTGTAAAAGCTATAAAAGGTTTAAAAAGAGGAAAAGCATTTGGGTATGACAGAGTAAGTGGTGAAATGCTAAGGGCTGGTAAAGAGCTAGTGGCTTCCTGGTTGTGTGTATATTTTTTAACAAATGTTGGACTAGTGGTGTGGTACCAACAGACTCGCGTAGAGCCGTTATTGTACCACTTTAAAAAGGAAAAGGATCACATCAGGAAGTTAAAAATTACCGCGGTATCAGTTTACTTAGCATTGTGGGCAAATTGTATGCAAAGATTCTGATAGAGAGAGTTGTGAAAGAGACGAATGGGAAAATATGGGATGTACAAGCGGGATTTAGGAAGGGAATGAGATGTACGGACCAAATCTTCTCCTTAAGGTGTATTACGGAGAAGTTTCTGGCAAAGCACCAGAAAGTGTTTTGTACATTTGTGAATCTGGAGAAGGCTTATGACCGAGTGGAGAGGGATATACTGTGGAGGGTGTTGTCCGAATTCGGAGTGGGGAGCCATTTGATACGCGCACTGAAATCACTGTATGAGGAATCCAGTGCGTGTGTCAGAGTTGACGGCGCATTTTCTGATTGGTTTGGCATCTCTAGAGGTGCCAGAGAGGGATGCGTAGCGTCACCTTGGCTCTTCAATTTGCTTATGGACAATGAAGTATGAAGCATGAAGGAGCTGCGTGAAAGTGATTATGGAGTGAAAATGGGCAATTCCAGCGTCAAATGCCTCGTATACGCTGACGACCAAGTGATCCTTGCGCCGTCGGAGGGGGAGTTTCAAAAAATACTGCACATTATGAATGAGTCGTTTAGAAAGAGAGGTATGAGGATTATTGCAGAGAAGGCGAAAGTGATGGTTTTTGAAAGAAATGAGAATGTGACGGTTTGTAAGATTAAAATACAAGGTACGAATGTTAATCAAGTCATTGGGTTTGTATATCTGGGTAGTGTATTTACAAGAGATGGAAAGTTTGATGAGGACATTGAAAGAAGGGTACGAAAGGGAAACGGAGTAAATGGAGCCATAAATGGTCTAATGGGGAGCAACATCTTATCCAAAAAAGCACACATTTCCATACATAATGCTTTACTGGTTCCCACACTGACATTTGGTAGTGTAAGTTGGGTATGGCAGAAGAAGCATGAGATCGTTGACGAAAATTTGTGGAATAAAATTGAGTGATAGAGTGAAGAATACAATAATACGTGAAAGATGTGGCTTGAAAGAGGATGTAGTGACCAGAATAGAGAAAGGAATGTTAAGGTGGTTTGGGCATGTGGAGCGGATGGATGTAAGAAGAGTTACCAAACAGGTTTATGATGCCAATGTGGATGGAAGGGTTTTAAGAGGACGTCCCAGAAGGAATTACATTGGTCAGATCAGTGGTGTCCTCAAAAAGGCTGGATCCGAAGTGACAAGAATAAAAGAAGTTGTATGAAAAGGGTAGTTGATGTATGTGAGGCTCGAGAGATATGTCAGGATAGAGCAAAGTGGTGTTCCGTGTTCTCTGCCTACCCCTCCTGTAGGACTAGGGTGTGAGTTTATGTATGTATGTATGTAGTTGCCACTGTTGAAGTCCAATTCTATCAGTAATCGTCCCTATCTACCGACCCGAGTGAAAGGTTTTTCCAGAGAGACTACGGGCTGGACGGCAAGACCAGGGTACAGTACAGACAAGTGCCCTACTCGTATTAGTTTCCAGGTAGGCAGGGAGGGTCACTATAATCAAAACTAACGTAGAAAGATATAGAGCTTGTTGAAGTCCAATTAATCCTAGAGGATGGAAAAAAAATTAAAATTAATCATTGGCTTATATTTTTTTTATTTTTTATGTAAAGTAAGACGCAAGCGAATAGATAAGTCACTTGATGGGAGGTGGTCACTGTTGCCCATGGACATTTAGCAACATCAATCTTATCCTGAATTAAAAAAAATATCATCACGTTTTCTAAAACAAATAAAGTAAAATAAATAAACTGTAAATAACTGAGAAAAAGTTACTAATTCTGTCAAAGTCGAGGAAAGATATTAAATTTATATGAATAGGCTGTATGGTGGCACCTTAGCCTATCCAAATAAATGGTTGAAAATTTATTAAAAAACATGTTATTTTCAGTTTTCTATATGTTTACTCGAGCGTAATATATTATATTTAAACAAAATTAACAAATTTTTTACTTAATTTGTTCTAAATTTGCGTGAACCGAACATAATTTTCGTGGCATGGGTAATAAATTCGTGGTTTTTATATTTGTATTAAATTTTATCAATGGATATTTGGCGCAATTGGATGATGATGATTATGATGATGACGTTTTTCTAATGCGTAAGTTTCCGCATGGACAAATTATAGGTACGTCTTGTCGTTTCTATGTACAATAAAACGGGTATAGGTTCTGACTCAATCGCCACGAGTGATCTGTATGCTAGCGATTGCAGTGCTGCCTTCTTTTTTATCTTATTGTATTAATGGCACACTATCCTCCTGAGACCCAGTGACCCACAATGGGAAAAGCGCTAAACGCTCAATGTACATAATTCACCCAGTATATTATAATATTATGGGTATTGTTGCTTTGTAAATTATGAATATCATTGTCACATATTATTATTCCTTTTTGCATTCCCTGGATAGCTCTTGTCACTCGGAATCTGATAATATTTACAAACAAGGCATAACTGAATGATTTGTCTTTCCTTTGTTCACAGCACCAACACCTATACCTTGCAATATCGCCGTCTGCTCTGCACCATGCCCCAGGGCTGCTGCTCCTCGCTTCTGTCCTTTAAACATCACTCACTGTGGATCTGGATGCGCCTGCATTCGATACTGCGAAGATCATACCGAACAATGCTTCATGATCTCCCATTGCATTGGAAAGAGACGGTTTCTTAGGTTTATGAGACATCGGACTTCTACTTCTACTTCTACTATTACTACTGTTAAACAGGAGGAACTAAAAGGAATGCCATTCCAGGAAGGCCACAACGTGAGACCAAACAAATTGTCAAAGGGGAAAAGAGACTTCACTGCTGCTCCGCGTGAGATCATCTGGAGACACGAGAAGACAGAAAATATATAGCACTACCCTGATATAATTTTTACTGGTGACAGTGATTTGAGCACTCACTGCCAGTATTAAGTGACCCCGCATGCTGGGCCACTAGTGGCGGCGGCTACACGCGACCACTAGTGACTCAAGCTATTACACCGTCCACCAATCGCAGCCACTAGTTCCTGTGGTCTAGTTAGTGTTACCAATGTTAGAGTTGCGAAACATTCATAAAATGGCCTGGATCTAACGAATAAGTCGTTAAAAAGGCAACACTGGTTGGCGGGGAGAAGTACGACTGTAGTCTAGTATGCGTGGGAGGCGAGCAATATACTCATGTTGCTACTTAGCTTTGAACGAAATCTAACGCTCAGTTTGCATCGATGTCACATAAAACGTACGGAAAATCTAGTCCGTAACTTGTGGTCGAGTTTAGTGGCCGCCACTAGTAGTTCACCTTATTCATTGGTTTAGTATATTGAAAGATACGTGATTTTAGGTTTTTCTTCAGTTTTGACTAGCTTCATCGTGTTTACGATGCTATAAAATGTTGTTACTATTTTCGTTGAATACAAAATTTCTAGTACTTGCTTTTTCTTTTCTTGTATTGACTTTGGATATTCTGTTTTTGATAAATAAAATAATAAGTACTAAATAGTCGTGTTCATTAATTTCCCTTTGACTAAAAAAATTGAGAACGGACGATGGAAGGAAATCAAAGAACGCCAATAACGATAAATTTTACCAGAAAAAACAGAACAATTAAATTTTACAATAGAAAGGAAAATGCTTTCTTCAAGCATCTTATAGTCTTCAATATAAATGTAAATTGGCACGGTTGGACTCGGAGGATCGAAAGATTTATGGGGAAGGTCTTGGAATTCAAAGTATATTATTTTCTAATAATTGAAGAATTAAATCTTCTAAACTTCGTTTTCTTGAACGCTGTGGAAGTCGCATCGCTGATCGTAGTGTGACTTTTCATTATATTCTCGGTTCTTGGTCAATCTGAAACTTACTGTTTTTCCCTGGTCATTGCAATTCCATTTAGACTCAATTGAGATAATATTGCAATTATGACTATATTTGTTACTCTGCTAAAATATAGTTGCAATGGCAGTTGACTCTGGAGTGTCAGTGGAATAGCACTGTGATGGCATTTATTCACTCAATCACTAATGGTCACTAATAAATGATGTTGGCTTACTAAAACCATCACGGAAATAACTATTCATGTCCTATCCATATACCTCGTTTAGTCAGCAATTTAGTCATCAAATTAAATGTATATAATGTCAGTAGACTACACCATCGATGTGCCATTAGCTTGCTTGCGTTAAATTCGTTGAAGAGCAGAATACAATGGTAGTTGAATAGTTGCTCGTGGGTAGCCACTGACCAGCCTCTAATCTTAACTTTTAGCAGAATACCAAACGTACAAAAACCTGTTATTGACACTCTGTCGACACATAACTGAGATGATTTAAAACGTCGAATATATAACCAGAAATAGAGACGAAATGTATTTCCATTTTGTTTGAAAACCATTCTGCCAAATCATTATGGTGACAACTGCGCTCCAATTGGCCAGCCCGAATTCGAAACAATTAACGGGTGTCGTCAATTGTTTTACTTCAAATCGGCCAGTTTAACTTGAACTTTGCTGTAATGAACGAAAATTGAAAAATTACATATTTAATATTTAATTACCGATGAAATGTGATTCTGATTGTTTTATAATTAAATGGTTTTCTGTTTTTTCCCACACCGAATGGAACAGCCCCTATTCTTAGAGATACGTATTTATTACAATAAACACAGAATATTTTTGGAATATACGGAGACGTACACACAGGTCAGTTGTTGGCGCTGTACTATTCCAGCTTTCTAAATTGTGATTTCAGCGCAAACGAGAGTTGATGTTTAAAAGTGATATAAGGCCAATTTGCCTGATGAGTTGCCAGAGATGGATGGCCCTTACTTCGTCTCTATTTCTGGTTATATATTCGATGAATTAAAATTTGCTGACTAGGAGTAATGTTTCCTACAGAATACGTAATAAATATTGACATACGTAAACTTAGTTTGTACCAAGTATACAGGTTATACAAAAATCTCTTCATACGAAGAAGGTGACAAAAGAGAGTTATCGTGAATATCAAAATTAAAACTTTTCTTAGGTTTTCGCGATTGCTACACATAGGAAATGAAACTATTTTTCTGGATTCAAATCACGTATATTTGTTTTTTTTCACACAAACCAACGTTTCGGGCCCTTTACAGGTCTCATGGTTCTGGTATGCCACGTTTTTAATTGTAAGTGTATTTTTTCCAATACAATTTATTTTGTTAAGGAAATAAATCAATAAAAAAAATAAAAATAAAATGTAGGCCAC